TAATTCTGACAATGTTGGTTGATATTTTCATTTACATTGAAGAGTAAGATCAAAGTGAAACAAGATGAGGACACAGGACAGAACTTCGCTTGTTATGTCAATGACAGGACTGAGCTCTTGGCTAATAGCTTTTGAATACCGGAAGAATATTTCCTCTACTTTTTGTGCAGTTCAAAATGTACAGCCATGACACATTTTTAAGCTTAACCTGAATTACTAACATTTTCTCTGTCAACTTTTAAAGTCAACCAGCCTTGATTTGTAGTGTATGCTGTTAAATACTCCCATCATACTTGATAAAATTACCAACGTGTTGTCACTGAATGCAGAGTTGTGGTATGTCCCCCCTACAAATGTTAATCATAAATATGGTAAATAAATGCTCAAAACTCAGGTTCTAAACTATTGTCTTTTTTAATAGAACTTATTGGTTATAGTAAAAATTTAGGCTATAACCTATAGACATATGTATACAATACATACATGTTATATATTACCCAGTGTAAACATGTATTTACATGTGTGTATTTCTACACACACATATATAAACACACATATGTATACACCTTTTAACAACCAGTTCATAAAATTTCTAAAAATACAAAAATTAGCTCTTATAAGCCAGAATGAGCCTGCCCAAGTGCACCACTAAATCAACGGCTTTGCTTCTGGTGAGTTGCTGCTAGGGCTCAGCATTCCCTGGGCTGCTACACTTCCTAGAGATCAGAAATCCCTTTGTAAGAGCAGTGCCCTGTCCCAGCATGCCAGACATCTTAAGGTACTCCCTAAAGATAGTGATGCTTTCCTCATGGCACAGGTTCAAGGAGAGGCATTTTGGCCCTGTCTCAGGGAGCCTAATGACAAGGTAAGTGAGAAACTCAAGACATGAGAAAGCAAGTTCAGCATCCTAAATTTCCAGTTCCTTCCTGTGTATCAGGCAAGGTCATTTCTGTACTTTAAATATCGTTTAGTTTCAGTCAGGACTTATGAGATTTGCAATCATCTACCCAGAAAATTCTGAGAAAAGCAATCAACTGCACAAATTAGCACATCAAATATGTAATACCCTGTGTGTGTACCATAAATTCATCCCAGTTCAAAATTTTGTTCTAATATGAGGTCAAGCACTATGAAAACCCATTTTTGCAGCCATTTTCTAGATTCTGATATAAATGTTGATACTTTGGGGAGTCTCTCAACCCTCCCCTAACCTCTTTTCTTATATCAACCTCTAGGCCACTTTAGAATCAGATTTTCTTTCTTTCTCTTTTATATCAATGAAGCCACAGTGTTGGTGAGCTAAAAGGGAAATAGGCTAACCTTTAACCTTCATCCACAGCTATCTCAGGCAAAGGATAATTAGTTGGTATGGTTGCTTAAGATTTCTTACGGGCTTAAGAGTTTTAAAATCCCCAAATTCTCCCACAAATCATCATTCCAATAACCAGGATAGCAAATGTCCCTTAATGTCAAATAATTTACTTAAGAAATCTGCCAAAACTGTGAATTCACTTGGCATTGTAGCTCATTCTTTGATATTTAGCAATCATAGAGCTACAAGGAAGTCTTTTAACTATGTTACAAAAATGGCTGGTGTTCTAGTCCATGGATTAAAGCAAAAATTTTTAAAAAGTCATTATTGCTTTTGCTTTATATTTTCCAATTCCATTATGAACAAGCATCATACAAACCCCTTGGACTGGCATTTCTTGCCCTTTGGTTGGTCTAAAAATGATCTCAACCACAGCTGATTAGCTGTTTTACTGTTGCTATCAAAGCATGTTACTTGCATGGCACAAAATCTGAATAGGAGCCTTATAATCCTTTGCTCCATTTCAACCAATAACCAATCTTTATAATAACCCACTTTTCTCAGGATGTTTCGCCTGAAATCCATCCAAGGATACCAACTTCTGTATTGGTTAGGTTTCTTTGGTTGACGGCAAAAGAACTTAATCTGATTTTGAAATGAAAACAAGATACTAGTAGGATACAACTTGGAAAAAATATTCAACAGGGCAGCTCTAGCGAGCAAAGCAGCAGTATCACAGGCAGTATCTTTAAGTTGTGGTCAAAGGAGGACTCATTTACAACTTCCTCCTGCATCCCAAGGAGAGTTTCTGATTGGATTGAAGTGAACCAGGTACAACTGGCAACACAAACAAAACCTCACTGAATGACGCCAGAGCAGCCCAGGGGAAAAGTCTATGTGCATTCCTGTGAGCATGGTTTCTATTTGTATTGCAGACAAAAACACATATCTGATATGTATTATTTTCATAATTTTAACTTCATAAATTTTTGGTATTTATAACCATACAATTATATTATAATTGTGGAAATTATACCGTTAGTAAATTATAAGATATCTTTCTGTATGAAAATCTACCTCACTTTTCAGTGACTGTGTAATCTACTGAATTTTCTGTAATTTAACTGATTAACTAGTTTACTAGTGCTAGACATTTAAGCTGCTCCAAATTTCTTGCAATTCTATAATAAATGTGCTTATGCATCTATATTTCTACACTTGTGCTTTTCAAAAAGATAAATTCCTAGATTTAGAATCGCAGCAAAGTGGTTACATTTAAAATGTTGACAGGTAACATATTAGCTTCTAAAATGGCTTTTAACCAATTTATCCTCCCAATGTATAAAAATATATTTCTCACATCTGTAACAGTACTGGCTATTATCCATAAAATTTGTGATTTATGTTGGTGGCAAGGGCTTTTTAAAATTTCAATTTATCCGATCATTACTGCACTTAGGAACTTCCTCTATTTTATTTGACAATTTCATGTTCTGCATCTGTGAGGACTGCTTGTTGGTGTGCTTTTTAGACTGTATCTTATCCTTGCTGCTTTTCTTTTTTTTTTTTTTAAGAGTTTATTTATTTGACAGAGAGAGACACAGTGAGAGAGGGAACACAAGCAGGGGGAGTGGGAGAGGGAGAAGCAGGCTCCCCGCTGAGCAGGGAGCCCGATGCGGGGCTCAATCCCAGGACCCTGGGATCATGACCTCAGCCGAAGGCAGAGGCTTAACGACTGAGTCACCCAGGCACCCCTCCTTGCTGCTTTTCTTTTTTTTTTTTAAAGATTTTATTTATTTGAGAGAGAGAATGAGAGAGAGAGAGAGAGAGAGAGCACATGAGAGGGGGGAGGGGCAGAGGGAGAAGCAGACTCCCTGCTGAGCAGGGAGCCTGATGTGGGACTCGATCCCGGGACTCCAGGATCATGACCTGAGCCGAAGGCAGTCGCTTAACCAACTGAGCCACCCAGGCGCCCTCCTTGCTGCTTTTCAACAGCACTTTTTAGAAGGGCTATATCCTTCGTAATATGTATATGTTTAAAATATCTCCCAGCCTGTCATGTGCCTTTTAACTTTGCATAGTGCCTCATACCATGCACAAGGTCTAAATCTTTTACATGCTCCTTCCTGTCACTCTCTCTTCATGGCTTCTAGACTCTGTGTCCAGTTTACCAAGTCTTCCTGAACTCAAAGGGATAGAAATATTCTATATTCTCTTCTAGAATTTTGTGTTTCCTATTACATCTTTAATCCATATTCAGGGAACTTCTCTGTAAGGAGTAAAATGTGGCTCTGACTTTACTTCCAGTTGGATAACTGTCAAACACCACTTAAATAATCCATCTCCCCCAGTGATATATCAAAAATACCATTTCAGTGGGGCTCCTGCCAGGTGCAGTCAGAGGAGCGTGTGAGTCTTGATCTTGGGGTTGAGTTCAAGCCCCACATTGGCTATAGAGATTACTTAAAAATAAATAGACACTTAAAAAAATATTACTTTTGCAATCTACCAAATTCATGGGTGTAAGATCTTTTCCAAAAATTTCCAATGATGCTTGCCTACTTACCACTCTATGTAATTTTCAGAACAAAACTGTCAATGTAAAAATATCCTACAGTTATCATGACTGGAAATGAGTAAATGTAGACATCTTTACAGTATTGAAACTTCCATCTAGAAACATGTATGGATCTCCATATATTCAGAACCTCTGTTCTCTTTCAACAGAGATTAATAATTTCCTTTCTATATAGAACCATAAGTAAATTAATCTATCATTTCATTTTGGGGGGGTTGATATCAGAACTGAATTAGCCTCATGAAAGAAGTATTCCAAATACTTTACAGTATTATGTCTTATTTTTTTTCTATACTCTGAAACAGTTTAATTAGTGGTTCCTTGAAAGTTTAGAATTAATCTGTGAACCCAGGTGTCTGAAAATATGGCTAGACTCTTTAAGTTCTCTATTGCTTCAGTTTTAAATATTAAGGAATTTCTCTTTTTTTGCCTTAACTATAGTCTTACATTCCTGGGTAAATTCTAATTCTTTTGTTTGTCTTATCCAGAGCTCTAGGCACTTCCTAAAACGTATTCTATGTACCAGGTTTACACTAAATTTCTGCACCTACAAAGGCATACAGCCTTGGGAGTCATGAGAAAGCCACTAAGTTACTCTGATGTCAAACTTAAAAATACTACACATGCTAATCCTCATTATCCACCTTAAGATGTAGTTGAAGTTCCAAAATTATTATAATCTCCTAGTACTGATATACTGCTTTTCAGAGTTCACTCTTTAAACATAATTTTTAAACAGACTCTGAATGATACTGACTTAACATTTACCAAGCACTTAGTCTGGGTCAGGCACTATTGCTAAGCACTTTATATACATCAAATAGTTTAAATTTTCATAACCAGGGTTTTAAGAGAGTAATTTAGTTACATTTATATGTTTGAAAGACCACCATGGCAGTAGTGTGAAGAACGAACTTGAAGGAACTAAAACAGGATGTAAGACCAGTTTTTATATTGGAACAGTCCAGGTGAAATGACTGTGTTTTGAAGTAGGACAATGAGAACGGAAAGAAGTGGACGAATTCCAAAAATATCTAGCAGATATATCCATGGGGCTTGATGACACATGGGGTGAGGAAGAGCTCAATGCCTGAGATGACTCTGCAGCATGAACTTTCTGATGATGAGTAAGGTGTGCACTTTGTCTGAAGACTTTTCCACATTCTTTACATTCATAAGATCTCTCTCCAGTATGAATTCTTCTATGTAGATTAAGGTGTCCAATCTGGCTAAAGGTTTTCCCACATTCCTGACATTCATAAGGTTTTTCTCCAGAATGAATTCTCTGATGAACTGTAAGGGATTGACGATGGCTAAAGGCTTTACCACACACACTGCATTCATAAGGTTTCTCCCCAGTATGACATCTTTGATGACAAATAAGGGATGATTTTGTTCTAAATGCCTTCTCACATTCAACACATTCATAGGGCCTTTGGCCGGTATGGAGTCTCCGATGCTGAGAACGGGATGAGCTATCACTAAAAGCCTTTCCACATTCGCTACATTTATAGGGTTTCTCTCCAGTATGAACTCTCTGATGTTGAATAAGGCGGGTAGTCTGGCTGAAGGCTTTACCACATTCATTACATTCATAAGGTTTCTCTCCTGTATGAATTTTATGATGTTGGGCAAGGTGTGCCCTCTGGTTGAAAGCTTTACCACATTCCTTACATTCATAAGGTTTCTCTCCAGTATGAATTCTCTGATGAGTAGCCAGCTGTGAACTGATGCTAAAAGCTTTTCCACATTCTTTACATTTGTAGGGTTTTTCACCAGTATGAATTCTCAAATGAATAGCAAGGTGTATACTCTGTCTAAAGGCTTTCCCACATTCCTTGCATTCATAAGGTTTCTCTCCAGAATGCACTCTTTGATGTTGTGTGAGTGAAGCATGATGGCTGAAGGCCTTCCCACAGACAACACATTCATAAGGTTTCTCTCCTGTGTGAATTCTCTGATGGACGGTAAGGGATGAGCCATAACTGAAGGTTTTCCCACACACTTTACATTTATATGGTTTCTCTCCAGTATGAATTCTCCTATGCTGAATAAGGCCTATGTGATCACTGAAAGCTTTCCCACAATCGATGCAATCAAAAGGTTTCTCTCCAGTATGATAATACCTCCAGTGACGAATAAGGGATGTGTTCTGCCTGAAGGCTTTCTCACATTCAATACATTCATAGGGTCTTTTGTCAGTGTGACATCTCTGATGTCGGGCAAAGGATGAGCCATCACTGAAGGCTTTCCCACATTCCTTACATACATAGGGCTTCTCCCCAGTATGAATTCTCTGGTGCTGAGCAAGGTGGGCAGGTTGGCTGAAGGCTTTTCTACATTCCATACACTTATACGGTTTTTCTCCAGTATGAATTCTTTGATGTTGAATAAGGTGCACATTTTGGCTGAAGGCTTTCCTACATTCTTTACATTCAAAGAGCTTCTCTCCAGTATGTATTCTGTGATGTTGAACAAGGTGCTGACTCTGGTTAAAGGCTTTCCCACATTCTTTACATTCATATGGTTTTTCACCAGTATGAATTCTCTGATGAACAGTAAGGGAGGAGCTGTGGGTAAAGGTTTTCTCACATTCATGACATTTAAAAAGTTTCTTTCCTGCATAGACTTTCTTGTGTTTTACTACCATGGAATTTTGGGAAAAGCTTTTTTTACCTGACTTGTGATTATAAACATTTTCTTCCATATTGTCTAGATGGACAAATTTCCCAGATTTGTTATAGTTGTGATCTATTTCCTTAGTAAGGGTTTTCTTATGAGTGGTTACTTCTTGCCTGATAAATGCCTCTTGACTTACCAATTCCCTCTCAAAAAGATCTTCACATTTCCAATTTTCTCTGTAAGTGGAAAACTCAAGTCCATAGCCTGCAATTCTCTCCATTAACACATCATCATACATGAAGTGCTTCAGAGATAATTCTTGTGTCTCATATATAGATCCCAAATCTGAAAGATAACAAAAATCAAGTGCTTCCTTTATCATCGGATATAACAAAGGAAATATTTAATGTGGACAAGATGATTCAAAAATAGGGAATCCCACAAAATCTATTATGCACCACCACATCAACTGAAAAATATGCAAGCTGATTTCAGAGCTCAGGGAAACATGGAGAAGGTGATTAAGAGAATTAAATGTAGGATAATGAGGTCCTAGAGAAGCAGATTTCAGAGCTCAGGGAAACATGGAGAAGGTGATTAAGAGAATTAAATGTAGAATAATGAGGTCCTACAGAAGTAGGCTACAATAATAATATATTTTTTTAAAGATTTTATTTATTTATTCATAAGAGAGAGAGAAAGAGAGACAGAGGGAGAAGCAGGGTTCCTGCTGAGCAGGGAGCCCGATGTGGGACTCGATCTCAGCAGCCTGGGATCATGACCTGAGCCGAAGGCAGACGCTTAACCATCTGAGCCACCAAGGCGCCCAATAACAATATTTTTTTATTTTATCCTGTATTAACAGAACAGACTATAAATTAAACACCATTCCTCTATTCCTTCCACTTCTAGTTGACTTGCATATACAGGTAGGTTAATGTTGTTTAAATACCAATATCATCACATAATTACTGATCAAAAATCTCTACAGATTCTCAGCAACCACAAATACCTTATGCTTCATGACTTCCCTTGGGGTTTAGGTAAACTCCTAGACTAATCTTTTCATAACCAGAAAATAGTATTTGTATGTACCATTGCTACATATTTCAATACAGCAAACTCTTCATTTCTCAGAGATCCCTGAACTTCAGGTTGCATTGTAAGGCATTTTTCCATTCATCTTCTCATTCTCACCAGCCTATGAAGAGTTGTCACTTCCCAGTCCACAACTTAATGGGGTTTTGCCATAAGTCTTTTTGAATAAACTAGTTTCATAATGATATGTAGGTGTGTATTACTATTATGAAGTTCTTTTCACTGCCACTTAAAATACCTTTCTTGCCTTCTGAGCTAGAATATAAGCTTCAGGGAAGAAATAATATGCTTTAAACACTACTACTAAGTCACTTAACATATATCACAGAAACTCAGGCATATATAAGTTCTCAATAAATACATAAAGAAATTTGTATTGAAGAGATGATACTAAGAGAAAACTTCAGGGAAAAGGTTGGTATCAAGAAAGGGCAAAAGAGAAAGTGCTTTCCTTTCCTATCTTAGTAATAGTAAATTACTGACTAATCCAATACTCCCTAAAACAGTTTTCTACTATGTGTCAAGCATTAGGGACACTAATGTAATAAAAGACCAGTTGTAAAAATTTAAAGGAAAAAAATAAATAAAAGACCAGTTGTTCTTGAGGAGTATAGAAAGTGATTAGAATGGTAAGACCAACAAAGAAAGTAATTGAGAAGAAAATATGGAGTATCAAGTGAGAGCCCATGTTGTAAAAAGTAAAACTAGTATAAAAGTTCAGAGATGAAAGAGATCAAATCTACTAAAGCAGTTAGGAAGGACTCAAAAGTGTTAACAAGTTTCCTACCCCTTCCTGCTGCTTCTTTCCTTCCTAACACTCAGGCTTCAGTAATTCTAGAATTGAGGCCATGAGAGTTCAATGAACCAATCACCTATAGTTTTTCTTACATAGACAACTGAGGGGAGAAATACTGGACAGAAAAACAGAAAGCTGGGTACATCATGGATTCCTCCGATGAAGATAGTCTTCAACACCACAACCTCCCATGGGAAACCATGGTTGTCCCTTATCTTTTTGGCCTTTCTCAACACAGATGCTAAGATATCTTACTTACTTAATAATAGTTGAATCTATACTGTGACTCAATATCCCACCAAATTTATAGGCTTCATCCCCCTTCCTTCTACCTTCCTATTCTTCACAAGGCCAATTACTACTTCTTATCAGGAAAGTTCCTCTATTTCCCTATTTAAGGCAGGTGGTAGATTCCTACACAACCAAAGTATAAAGCATGTCTAAGCAGGGCTAATTTCTCTTCCAATATTTGGTTAATTGGAGGATCCTGGAAATCTAGGATCCAAATCATCTCAAAATGTAAAAATCCAATACTGTTACGGAAGTGAAAGAATTTCATAAAGGCACAATTATCATGTATGATTTCAACATTCCCTTGTCTTTGTGAACATTCAATTCAGTGGGGGAGGCAGAAAATAGCATGTAAACCATAAGCAGGTTAATTACAGGCTTTCCTGAGTGTTACAAAGAAAATAAACAGTGGCTTGAAAGAAAGTGGGTTGGAATAAGGGAATATTCATTACAGAAGGTGGTTAGGGAAGGCCTCTGATGAGATGATTTTTGAGCTCTGGCCTGACAGTCTGTGGGAATTCACAGTGCCTAGCTAGATAAGATTTAATAAACACACGCCTCCCTGGATGAAACTAGTTGAAAAGCAAAGAAGGAGTGTCCAGAAAACTGGGCCCCCTTTAAGGTTTCTGGACTGAAAACAGATTCTCATTGCAGCTCAATGCACTCATCCAGGGAGTGAATGCTTGACTTAGGAGAAACATTTATCTTTGGAGGTCACATACCCCATGCACTCCCTGTCTACATGCCGGTCATGAGCACAACTTGTTCTATTCACACGATACTCCCTATACCACTGTCCTGATTATTACAGCTTCACATTCCTTCTTGTTTTTCTTATTCCCTTGTTGTATTGATAACATTCACAATAAAGGTGGAGGCAGAGTCTGGCTCAGGACCTTCCGCCACTAGAGCATCCGATCCCCAGGCCCTCCCCTTTCTCCTACTAAGGTGTCTTTTCATTCTCCGTCTCAGGGTTTGCTGGCCAAAGCCGATAGGAGTCAGGCATGGACAGACAGCCAAGAGAAGGGCATTCTGGGAAGAGAAAACAGGAAGTGCACAAGCCTGAATCAGTAAAGAGCTTGGTGAGTTCAGAAAAGGTGACCAATGGGTAAAAGCAGTGCTTCTCAACTGCACTGTCAGGCACTCGTCAACATCTGTAAGGCAAACAGAAGCAAAAGAATGATACTGCTTGTGATCCAGAAGCAACCAAACTTAGAACTCAGACTGCCTCTGGCCGCACCTGGTCTCTCAAGGCTTAGAGATTCCGTATGTTCGCATACCTTTATCACACTTGAATACCTGGGTACCTCACATAGTTTAGAAAACTCTGTACTAAAGTTGAGTGAAAAAGCTAAAAAATCATAGAGGATAAGGTAAGAGAAGCAGGATGGAGCTGGTTACACAGGGGCTGGTAAGGTCTGGGTCTTTCCTATTTGCAACAGGAAAGCAAAGAAGGATATAAGCAGCAGGACAGATTATAATTTTCAAGCGGCACCCAATTTAGGAGTGAAGATTTAAGAAAAAGAGAAGCTTATATAAGTCTATATGGCAAAAGGAAGGGATGGGAAAGAGCTGGATAGAGATTTTTGCAAATTGAGTTAACTATTAGACAGAAGAGATATCTTGACATTTGGGGAGCCTATGCTACGTACTAAAGTTTCAATTTTCTCCTCAGGCTTGGAAGGCTTGAGAAGAGCTTCTAAATAGCATAAGAAAGGAGAAAGTATCACCTTTGAAAATAGCTGAGCCATTATCTAGAAAGGATTCCCCATCTGGTTCTCCCACACTCACCTGGGAATGGGCTTCTTGTCATCTCTGTCTTCATCTCCCAAGGCTCCTTCCCTTGCTCCAATAAGGAGATCACATATGGCTTAGAGATGCAAAGACCTGCATACAAAAAAAAAAAAAAAAAGACATGAAAATTGGCCATGTTTTGGGTATTTCAGATCTATAAATCAGTTCCTTAATACTGATGGAATGACATAACATGAATGATTAAATCAAAGGGTAAAACACATTTTGGAGACAGATTACATAAAGTTTCTGGCATAGTCTAGTGGAACTGCCAACAGTCAACTTTATGAAAGTTAAACAATTTTCTAAAGGACTCAGGGCAGAAATTCTGCCCAGCATTTTCAGAGGATCATCAGACAGCCAGTAAGTGATGTATTGTAAAGAGCCCCTAGAGACAGAGTTTGGAGTTTGAATCAAGTTAACTGCCTGCTTAAAAAAATAAAACAATGTGGTATATATATACAATGGAATATTATGCAGCCATCAAAAGGAATGAAATCTTGCCATTTGCAATGACGTGGATAGAACTAGAGGGTTTTAGGCTGAGCGAAGTAAGTCAATCAGAGAAAGACATGTATCATATGACCTCACTGATATGAGGAATCCTTAATCTCAGGAAACAAACTGAGGGTTGCTGGAGTAGTGGGGGGTGGGAGGGATGGGGTGGCTGGGTGATAGAGATTGGGGAGGGTATGTGCTATGGTGAGCGCTGTGAATTGTGCAAGACTGTTGAATCACAGATCTGTACCTCTGAAACAAAAAATACATTATATGTTTAAAAAAAAAAAAGAAGATAGCAGGAGGGGAAGAATGAAGGGAGGGAAATCGGAGGGGGAGACGAACCATGAGAGACGATGGACTCTGAAAAACAAACTGAGGGTTCTAGAAGGGAGGGGGGTGGGAGGATGGGTTAGCCTGGTGATGGGTATTAAAGAGGGTATGTTCTGCATAGAGCATGGGGTGTGATATGCAAACAATGAGTCATGGATCACTACACCAAAAACTAATGATGCAATGTATGGTGATTAACATAACATAATAATAAAAATAAAAAAAGTAAAAAAAACTCTTCAGAGGAATATAACAGAATTTACAGCCTCTACAATGTATTATTTATAGTGTCTGAGATAAAATCCAAAATTATTACACCTAAGTAGAAAGAGGAAAAAGTGAAACACACTCAGAAAAATAAGCAATTAATGAGGAGCTAACCAGTGATAACACAGATGTTGGAATTAGTAGACCAGGATTTAAAAACTGCTATTATAGGGACGCCTGGGTGGCTCAGTCGTTAAGCGTCTGCCTTTGGCTCAGGTCATGATCCCAGGGTCCTGGGATCGAGTCCCGCATCGGGCTCCCTGCTCAGCGGGAAGCCTGCTTCTCCCTCTCCCACTCCCCCTGCTCGTGTTCCCTCTCTCGCTGTGTCTCTCTCTATCAAATAAATAAATAAAATCAGTAAAAAACAAAACAAAACAAAAAAACTGCTGAGGTACCCATCCATACCCAAAAATGTAAAGGAAAATATGCTTAGAATTTCTCAGCAGAGAAAGAGAAATTATAAAAAAAGAACCAAGTGGAAAGTTTAGAATTGAAAAATATAGTATCTGAAATTTAAAAATTCACTACATTGGGGTGTCTCAGTGGTGCAATCAGGTTAAGCACCCAACTCTTGATTTTGGCTCAGGTCCTATCTCTAACTCAGTGTCATGGATCAAGCCCTGTGTCAGGCTCCATGCTCAGTGCAGAGTCTACTTGAGATTCTCTCTCCCTGTCCCCTCCCACTCATGCTTGCTCTATCAAATAAATAAATAAATCTTTTTAAAAAATTCACTACATTGGCTTAATAAGACATTGAAGAAGACACAAAAAGAGTAAGTAAATTTGAAGTTAGTTCAATAGAAATTGTCTAATCTGACATACAAAGAAAAAAGATTTTAAATAATGAACAGATACTCAGTTACCTAGGGCATAATATCAAAGGTTCTAATATACTTGTAATTGAAATACCAAGAGAGACAGCAGAAAAAATTATTTGAAGAAATAAAGGCAAAAATTATACAAATTTGATGACAGACATACATTCTGTTTCAAGAAGCTCAGTGAACCACAAGCAGGATAAAAGTGGCTTCTCAGAGAAGCATTGTGCATGTATTGTTCATTCATGCATGAAACACATCTTTTTGGGGCGCCTGGGTGGCTCAGATGGTGGGGCATCTGCCTTCGGCTCAGGTCATGATCTCCAGGTCCTGGGATCGAGCCCTTGAGTCAGGCTCCCAGCTCAGCAGGGAGTCTGCTTCTCCCTCTCCCTCTGCCCCTCCACCCCACTTGTGCTCTCTCTATCACTGTTTCTCTCTCAAATAAATAAAATCTTTTTTAAAAAGTTTTAATAATAAATAAAAATGTAAAGAGTCACTAATGTAATTCTAAATTATGCAGAGGAGAAAATATTCTTACCCAGTGATACCAGGTTCTGATAGTTCTCCAACATCATATTCTTGTACAAATTCCTCTGAGCAGGGTTCAGCCATTCCCATTCCTCCTGGGAAAAGTCTATTGCCACATCCTTGAATGTCACCAAGTCCTGAAATGACAGAAATACACTCTTGATCAACCAATGCTCATTTTCATGCATAACTCCAAGTTGAAGCTTTAAGTTGTTTCTACTTTATGTGAACAATAGCCCTTGAGGAGAAAAAATATTAAACCATTATAATATGAAGCTCCCACCTAAAATAGTGGTTATTGAAGTGTTAAATTGCACTGTATGCAAGGATGCTAACCTATTTCTTGGCATGTGGAAATATGGACAGGTGGCCATAGGGCAGTAAATAAGAGCCTCAAGGAATGACTTATACCTGTGGTTGAACCTTTAAAAACAAAAAACATTATCTAAATTGATTGTTTTGCAAATGGTACTCTATGAGATCCTAGTGTTTCAGAAGGGAAGGGGCACTGAACTGATGGGGCTGATTTTATTTTTTCTTACACAATAAAAATAATGAATATAACTAGAGTGTAATTTTCTCATGCTATGCCATTAAGAACTAGCATGACATGCTATACCAGAGTAAACTGGGTAATAATATGAAAAAGCACCCAGCATTAAGACTACAACACATTCAATCTGTACATTGAGTCTGAGTACAACAAACCTACATACTTATGATAATATCAAAATGAAACCGAATAAAATTTTTAGTTTATTTTTTAAGTATCTTTTTAGGGATGCCTGGATGGCTCAGTTGGATGAGCGTCTGCCTTCGGCCTGGGTCGTGATCCCAGGGTCCTGGAATCGAGTCCCGCGTCAGGCTCCTTGCTCAGTAGGAGTCTACTTCTCCCTCTGCCTGCCGCTCCCCCTGCCCACACACTCACTCTCTCTCAAATAAATAAAATCTTTTAAAAAAATAAAGATTTATTTATTTTAGAGAGTGAGCAAGTGAGCGAGCAAGCATGGGGAGGGGGTAAAGGAAGAGGGAGGGAGAGAGAGAGTCTTAGAGTCTTAAGCAGATTCCACAGTGAGTGCAAAGCCCAGTGCAGGGCTCGGTCTCACTATCCTGAGATCATGACCTCAGCCAAAAGCAAGAGTCGGATGCTTAACCAACTGCGCCACCCAGGTGCCCCTAATTTTTAGTTTCTTAAAGAATTAAATGTGTTGGGGCGCCTGGGTGGCTCAGTCGTTAAGCGTCTGCCTTCGGCTCAGGTCAGGATCCCAGGGTCCTGGGATCAAGCCCCACATCGGGCTCCCTGCTCTGCGGGAAGCCTGCTTCTCCCTCTCCCACTCCCCCTGCTTGTGTTCCCTCCCTCGCTGTGTCTCTCTCTGTCAAATAAATAAATAAAATCTTAAAAAAAAAAGAAATGTGTTAAGAGAAAAACAAACGTCCAGTTATAATCCCCAGCAGGTTGTAAGAAATTTTTAAAAATATTATGGGCATTTTTCATATTCAGATTTATTTCCAGCGAAAAGAAAAATCTTCATGCTCAGTGCCCTGTATACCAATGACATTGGTAACTGACTATATAAAATAAATATGCATGAATCCATGCTAATACAAATAAATGACTGGATAAATAAATGGTGGACTTAGGCAGAAAACAGGGAATTACATAAAACAATCAAACACATTCTAAAACTAAAAATGCAATAACGGAAGCTAAGATTCAATGATGGATTTAACAACAGATTAGAGAACTGAAGAGAATGAGAGCATAAGTAAAATATACAGAGTAAAAAAGACCTAGCCTTTTATGGAATTGTAATTTTAGGAGAGAAAGGGCCTGAGCTAATGTTTGAAAAGACGGTGGTTGAAAATTTTCCAAAATTGGTGAAAGTCACCAAGCTACCCTAAACAGAACAAAACTGAAACAGTAATAAAATAATGTTGGGGGGCGCCTGGGTGGCTCAGTTGTTGGGCGTCTGCCTTCGGCTCAGGTCATGATCCCAGGGTCCTGGGATCGAGCCCCACATCAGGCTCCCTGCTCGGCGGGGAGCCTGCTTCTCCCTCTCCCACTCCTCCTGCTTGTGTTCCCTCTCTCGCTGTGTCTCTCTCTGTCAAATAAATAAATAAAATCTTAAAAAAAAATTAAAAAATAATAAAATAATGTTGGAAGGTTGATAAAAAAGGAAAGGGTATGTGTGTTTGGGGTTATTACTGAACAGAATCTTTATTATCTCTAGTAGCAGGTTAATAGGTAATATCTAAAATGAAAATAATTAAGAAATAGTGTTCCAAACATTTTATTCAGGAACATGAAGTTAACTATCACAACAACTAAGACATAAAGTGGTAACGTTGTGGAGATACCCAACTTTTCCTATAGGACAGATGAAGCGCAAAAAAAATCTAAACAGTATGCAAATTGTGTGTACAGTAACATCATACACACCAAACTCTAAAAGTTCTATATCTGGAAAATTATGTTAGATGATTCATAAAGTGTTCCTAATGCTTAGAAAGACACAGATGCCCAAATCCATTTTTCTTTTTGAACATTTCATTAACTCTGATAGTGGGAGATGGGGGCAGGGCAATGTTTTAAAATTAATTTAATGTGATTTTAATATAAAATGTATAATTAAATATTAGTAAGTGGACATTTGACTCCCATCCATATAATGAAAGCATGTTTTCCACTTGGAAAAAAATCTGGAATGGAGAACTTCTCATCTGGAAAATTAAGGTCTCCCTTTATATTCATGGTTCCTTTCACAAAAGGTATACTTTAAAATTATAAGATTAAAAACAAATACAAGAGGCACCTGGGTGGCTCAGTTGTTAAGCGTCTGCCTTCGGCTCAAGTCATGATCCCAGGGTCCTGGGATCGAGCCCTGCATTGGGCTCCCTGCACAGCGGGAAGCCTGCTTTTCCCTCTCCCACTCCCCCTGCTTGTGTTCCCTCTCTCGCTATGTCTCTCTCTGTCAAATAAATAAATAAAATCTTAAAAAAAAAAAAAAAATACAAGGGGGCGCCTGCATGGCTCAGTCAGTTCAGTGCCCGACTCTTGATTTTGGCTCAGGTCATGATCTCTGCATCCTGAGATCAAGCCCTGCATCCAGCTCCCCGCTCCGTATGTAGTCTACTTAAGATTCTCTCTCTCCCTCTGCACCTCCCCACCTGCTCATGCACTCTCTCTCTCAAATAAATAAATAAATACCTTAAAAAAACACAAAAAAACCCAAAACTGAATGTAGTCCAGCAACAGAATCAAGTGTAAGATGCAGGGAGCATTCCAAATCAGTTAAGAAAGAGATGAATTATTCAACAAATGCCACTCCGTCAACTAGAGAGGCAAGTGGGAGAAAAATGAACCCTTGACTCACTTATGATAGGTTAAACATTTAATGTAACAATTTAATGTAAATTAAGTTTAATGTATAAATTTAATGTAACTTTGAACCTTATCTTCACAGAAAAAAATCACCAAAATCAAATATAAACTTATCAGAAAATTATGAGGGGTAAAACAAATCTTTTAGAAGAAAACTGGGTATCTACAGATCCTGGGGTAGACAAGGATTTCTTAAACAGGACCCAGAAAAACATAAGCTGTGAAGGGAAAGACCTATCTGTGTATGAATAGAATACCCTGGATGATATATGTCTCCTAAGAACTGGAAGGCAAAAGGGAGGTTTTATGTCTTAAATTTCATACCATATATATCACCTATTTAAATTTTTTAAATTTGCAAAAATTAACTAGAATAAGGTTTTTAAGGTAAACAAAGAAAAACATTTAAGAACTTAAGGATAAAATTAGAGATTTGAACAAAATTCAGCCAGAAGGGTGATTCCTAAAGCATTCTAAAAATAGGAGAGGGCCAGCAAATGCACATTTTACTTGGAACCCAACTCACTGGTTCCAAGACACCTCTATTCCACATAACAGAAACCAAATCTTTTCCCAGGCATCAATACTGAATTAAATATGAAGTGGCAAGAGGGGACTCAGAGGAGGCTCTATGCCTCATCGTACTCAGTTTTACTTACCCATCAGGCAGTTTGAGTTAGTGTGCTCTGGGAAAAGTGGGCACCAGGCCCGTCAAGACCGTTGTTAATCAGGGAATTTTGAAAACAAAAGAAGCATCACTAAGTCCTAAAGAGTAAGACTGCCTTTCACGGATGAGAATGGAAGTAACTAACCTGGGATATGGCTTTCACTAGTTCAACAGTCATTTCCACCTCTCCTTCCTGGCTTCTCTTGGAGAACAGCAGTACCCTAGGGCACAGGCAGGGAGGGAGAAAGGGGGGAGATGAGGCCCGCTCTGCACCCCCAGAATCATCAGCTTACAAATTCTGTCTTCTCCTTCGTCCTCCCAGCTTTCCTTAATTCCACTGCCCAAATAACTGGAAGACACTAGGCAACCTATGGCCACTGAGGACTGTAACTTATAATTCTGTTTCTCTTATGCTTGAGTCCCTAAATTTAATCTTTTTCCTAAAAGTTGCCTTCCCGTTCTTGGTCTTATTTTTATAGGTAAAGGTGGCTCTTTCCCTTCCTGCATCTCTGCTTCATGCTTTGACACAGTCTACAATTTGAAAATCTGACTCCTCAATGCATCAGAAGCCAGGGTTATCATTCTCCACCCAAATCCCCATAGGCCTCGCCTGCCTCTCACGCTGGCACAATGGCAATGGGATAATTTAGCATCCGATTCTGCCACCTTCAGTCTCACCTCTGTCTTCAGGGCCTTGGTTTCCCTTCCTTTTTGTCACCCAGAACTGAAGGTATCTCCTGCTCCAGTTGGGGGCTCTCGTCAGTCCCCCCACCTACTGCTTTTTACTGGAATTCTTGAACTGGGAGCAGGGAATTCTACTCTAGGATTCTTACCTCAGCAGCACACAACACACATCAAGAAGCTAGTGCTACCAATCTTCCAAGTAGTCTCCCCATACACATCCGTCACTCTGGGCCAGCTACAAGCACGCAGCGGGACACGCAAACACTGACACGAGATCTCACCGACTTCTGACTCTCTCTGTCAAATAAATAAATAAAATCTTAAAAAAAAAAAATACAAGGGGGCGCCTGGGTGGCTCAGTCAGTTCAGTGCCCGGCTCTTGGGGCACTGAACTGACTGAGCCGACTACAGAGGACATAATCCCAAGCACCCAAAGGAAGCCGCATCATATGCAGTCACATACACTATGGTCTCGGAGGCCCGTATACAAACGCACCCCTGCAATCTTATTCTCTCACACATAACATGGCTCACTGTGCCCTCAGCTCTGCCTTGCTCATGCAAGCACACTCCACAACCTAAAAGAGGCTCTGTCTGCAAGCCTTCAGGGGACAATCTGCAGTTCACATGGTCTCTGTCCTGCTTACTCTGGTCTCACACACAACCACGTCACCAGCTTTCCTCTCTCTCACACAAACATGATGGTCTCTCACACTCCACATTCACACACAAAAACACACACATTCTCAATGGACACTTTCAAAGACACCTGGATTTTTGTCACACATAGATACTGTTCAAGAACAAAATTCAACTGAGGAAAATTTAAAGATCTAATTGGTTCTGTTCATCAATTCAAGAACAGGGCTACATCCCATCCTGCAAGGAGAGAGGAACTGAACTCCAAGGAGCTGTACGAATCAGACATTTTTAGGAGGGTGGGGCAAGAAGTTATTCGCATAAGAAAGGAAAGGACTGTTTCAGGCAAGGTTACTTTCCCTTAGTGGGAAGGTAAGGGGTCTTATGCAGATTACCTCAGATTCCTTTGGGGGAATGGAGAAGGCCCATGTGACATGTTACCTCGTTGGTGCCATCCAGAAAATTCTTGGCTGGTCAGTTAAAACTCCATTTCTGGGGTAGGTTGAAACTGCAATTAGGACGGGTATTGGGGCGCCTGGGTGGCTCAGTCGTTAAGTGTCTGCCTTCGGCTCAGGTCATAATCCCAGGGTCCTGGGATCGAGCCCCGCATCGGGCTCCCTGCTCAGCGGGAAGCCTGCTTCTCCCTCTCCCACTCCCCCTGCTTGTGTTCCCTCTCTCGCTGTGTCTCTCTCTGTCAAATAAACAAATAAAATCTTAAAAAAAAAAAAAAAAAGGATGGGTATTAACTGCCTATCTGAGGATTTGACCTAAATGGTGCCAAATTGGGCCTGTGGTTTTCTTTTTACCACTACACAAACACATCTGGTCTCTCACATTGTAGTTGTGCCCCCTTTCCCCACGTCTCACACACACCAAATACACAGTGCCCTCTCTCACACTCGGATACCTCACAGGGCAGACACACACACCGCAGGCACACACTCACACCAACACGCTCCTGACATCTCACACTTTCTCTTACACACACCTGCCACCATTTCTGACATCTCACACTCTCTCACACACACACATCCCACATGGCATCTCATACTTTCAACACACACCCCGTCCACCATCCCTGGCAGCTCACTCTCTCTCACACACACTCACCTCCCACCATCCCTGGCAGCTCACACTCTCTCTCACACACACTCACCTCCCACCTGGCAGCTCACACTCTCTCTCACACTCACTCACCTCCCACCATCCCTGGCAGCTCACTCTCTCTCACACACACTCACCTCCCACCATCCCTGGCAGCTCACTCTCTCTCACACACACTCACCTCCCACCATCCCTGGCAGCTCACACTCTCTCTCACACACACTCACCTCCCACCATCTCTGGCAGCTCACACTCTCTCTCACACTCACTCACCTCCCACCATCCCTGGCAGCTCACACTCTCTCTCACACACACTCACCTCCCACCATCCCTGGCAGCTCACACACACTTTCTCTTACACACACCTGCCACCATTTCTGACATCTCACACTCTCTCACACACACACATCCCACATGGCATCTCATACTTTCAACACACACCCCGTCCACCATCCCTGGCAGCTCACTCTCTCTCACACACACTCACCTCCCACCATCCCTGGCAGCTCACACTCTCTCTCACACACACTCACCTCCCACCATCCCTGGCAGCTCACACTCTCTCTCACACACACTCACCTCCCACCATCCCTGGCAGCTCACACTTTCTCTCACACACACTCACCTCCCACCATCTCTGGCAGCTCACACTCTCTCACACACACTCACCTCCCACCATCCCTGGCAGCTCACACTCTCTCTCACACACACTCACCTCCCACCATCCCTGGCAGCTCACACTCTCTCTCACACACACTCACCTCCCACCATCCCTGGCAGCTCACACTCTCTCTCACACACACTCACCTCCCACCATCCCTGGCAGCTCACACTCTCTCTCACACACACTCACCTCCCACCATCCCTGGCAGCTCACACTCTCTCTCACACACACTCACCTCCCACCATCCCTGGCAGCTCACACTCTCACACACCCTTCCCATGTCTGGTATCTCACACTCTCACACCCTCCACTCAGTCTCTCCTGGAGCCTAGCACACGAGCTCCCACCTTCCACGCACAGGCGCACCACTTCCCCGCACACTGCCGGCAGACCCTTGTCGCTCGCCGGCCTCTCGGGTCCAGCCTGCGGTACACGCCCCCTCCCCGCACTCGCCCCGCCCCAGCCGCCCCCCAGCCCCGCCGGCGGCCGCAGCAGCCCCGCACACCCGCCCCTCGGACCGCAGGACCGCACCGCGCCGCGCTGACTTCTGGGAAATGTAGTCGGCGCGGGGGAGGCTCCGCCGCGGCGTCCGGGCTGGAACTACACCGCCGGAGTCAGGGCGGCCCGCTTCGCCTGCCCGGCCCGGCCCCCGGGCTCCGACTGCCGACCCGCGGGAACAGCCCACCGCCTCCGCCCGGAAACCACCCCTCTCACCCGAAGGGCCGCAAGCGCCAACGCCCGGGGTCCGAACGTGCGGGAGACGCATCTCCCGAGGCGGGCGGTGTAAGGGGGAGGAGCCCGAGGGACGAGGGGCGGGGCGGGGCTTAGTGGGGGGCGTGCCCTTGGGCTGTAGAAAACGGGAGGAGGACCCCGAGCGCCGGAGCGTGCGTGCCTGCGATTGAATACCGCGGGACTCGGGGGCGTGGCCTAGGGGTCAGGGGCGTGGCGGAGCTGGGCGGGAGTATGCGCAGGCGCTTAGAAAGCGCGCTCCGCCTCCCTTCGCCTGGAGACCGGAAGCGTCCCTAGTTACCTGGTGGCAGGTGCGAGAAGAGGGCGCTGCGGCCGGCTCCCTGGGCGCGCCCACGGGCGGCTTTTCGAGGCGACGCTGTGTCCGTGTGAGCGTGGAGTGGCTCCGAGTGCGGCCCGCGAGCCTGTCCGTGGGAGCGTGGTTTTCTTCCTGTGCTAAGTTTTGCGACAGGAAGAACAGCGGTCGGGAACCCCGAAAGTGTCCTATCCCCAAAGTGACGACAGCAAATTAGTAAATGTCTCTTCTGCCCAACGGGAGCGTCATCATTATCCTTACTGTTAAGAGGCAGTGAATGAGACGATGTCTCTGCCGCCAGACTGCTGGGCTTGAACCCGTCCTGCCCCCCCCACCCCGACAACGGTCCCCGCTATGGGGGACTAAGAAAAAGAATTAGGCCTGCACTGGAAAGAAAAGTCATGCAGGGGGATACAGCAGGGGAAAACACAGACAAAATTCCTTAGCCTCTTCAGATCTGACTTTTAAGTGGATGGAGAACACAAATGAATGAGTAAAATAAATAGCTTATCAAATGGTGGGAAAGGCTATGGAGAAACAGCAGGGCAGAGGAATAGAGAGTAGAGGAAATTAGAAGGTTTGCTTTGGGGAAATGAATAAAAGAATGAAAATGGAGATAAGATACCATCCATAATCCCACAACTCAGAACTGCCTCTAACACTATTAACATTTGTAACATGTTGCTTAAAACATATTTTCCTGGGGCGCCTGGGTGGCTCAGTCAGTTAAGCATCTGCCTTCAGCTCAGGTCATGATCCCAGGGTCCTGGAATGGAGCCCCACATGGGGCTCTCTGCTCAGTGGGAGCCTGCTTCTCCCTTGGCCTCTGCCCCTCCCCCTGCTTTTGCTCTCTCTTTCTCTCTCAAATAAATAAACAAAATCTTTAAAAACATTTTTTTTCCTTTCACACCCTCGTTGAGATTTCTATACCTAAATAAATAATTTAGAAAATGGGAGTATATGGTACATAATCTCCATAACGTTTTTCTCCATTACATGGTGAACATCTTTCTGTATCAAAAAGCATTCTTTAGTCCATTTCTAAATAATTGCAATGTCAAAA